CCGGCCCTGGAGAGGAGACCGAGGGCAAGCAGAAGCAGCGACTGACGCACCAGGGCAGAGGAGGGCAGAAGTGAGAAGGGGAAGCCACATGTGCCGCAGTAGCACTTTCCCCTCCTGCGACCCAGCCTGCTGCGGAGGCAAAGCCGGCCCCCAGCACCCCTGGCACTGCCCACCCTCCCCCTGCCAGGAGAGGCTCCCTCTGGCGAGCACAATCACAGGGGCCAAGGGGACAAACTCCAGGGGACAGAGCCCAGCTGTTCACCTGATGGCTTTATTTAAGGCAGGTGAAGGGTGGGCGATCATAGTGTGCAGTTACGTGCTGTGCAGCTGGCAGTCGGTCACAGCAGATGCCTCTGCGGGTCCCCATCCATCGCAGAGGGCCTCTGGCACCAGCACTCCCCACAGTGCTGGGTCCAGCCCGGTGTCCTTCAAGGCTCCTTCCTGCTGCCGGCCAGGTCCCGCCTTGCCCGCATCTGTTCTGGTCCTGGGGTCCCTCCCTCGGCATGCCTGAGCCCCAGCCCGCGGGGGTTCCTCAGCTAGAGCTTGCTCTGGTTTTGCGTTTGCTCCACCCTGATGACTCCTTCCTGCGCGCAGGTGACAGCCAGGACCCCGTCCCTGCGCCACAGCCGTCCCTGCACCAGTCCCCGGCACCCGCCTGCAGACAGCACCTGTCAGACCGCGGCCCACCGCTCCCTGGGAGGGGCAGGGCTGGTCTTTGCCGCACGTGTCCCCGGGGAACGCGGTGAGACTCACCAGCCCAGGGGCTCTCGCACTCATACAGCATCCAGTGGTCCGCTCGGAAGGGTGCATGGAACCACATGGAATGGTCGAGGGACACCATGAACTTGATGCGGTACTGCCGGTGCGGGAGCAGGGCCGTGCCCAGGAAGGCGTAGTCGGACATGTAGGCAGCCACGCAGCAGTGCACCTTCATGTCAGTCTCTCCTGCAAAGCAACCAGCACTGCCTGTCCCCCACGGGGTGGCCGTGGGACAAGCCTGGGCGCGTAGCGCAAGGCAAAGCCCCAGAGCTCTGCTTCCCCAAGAATCTGCTGCTGGCCAAGCAGAGCTGAGATGCTCCTTCAGACCCGCTCCCTTTGCCATGCCCCCCGGGGAAAGCCTGCCGAGGCTGAGCACAGCACATGGGCATCACTTCGTGCTCCGGCACCCACACCTGTACTTCAGCCTTGAAATCCCCAGGCTTCCCCACAGCCTTGGGGCGCAGACAGCCTCTGAATCACAACCCTCAGCCCACTCCACCACAAGCAAGCTCTACAGCATGAGCACGAGCTTGAGCCCGAGCCCTTGGCTTGTGAGGCAGCTGGACCACCCTCCTGGCAGGACCCACCTATGTAGCCTCGTGCTCGCACCCAGAAGAGCTGCTTTGGCTCCTGCGGCTCCGAGCAGAATACATCTGGCGGGTTCACGGGTTTGATATCAATCGGCACATCTTCGGCTTGAATCCTGTTGAGATGCTTTCTGTATCTCTCCGCCAAGTTAGGATTCCTGTAGACCAACACAGAGAAGCGAGGTTAATGCCAGGCAGGCCAGGGGCACGTCCTGCTGGAAGCGGCTTCAGCCCAGGGACCCAGGGCCACATAGAAAGACAGGCTCCTGTCCTGTCCTGTCCTGTTTCTATACTCCCCTCCCAGGTGTATTTGGGAACTCCTCAGGCAGTCACCCCCATCCCTCCGCCTCCCTAAGCCCCAGCCGCAGAGAAGGGCATCCCTGGCGTGTCCCTTCCGCCTCACTCACTGCAGGAACTTCTGGATGAGCTCCTCTTGCGTCAGCAGCTCCTCAGGGGGCGGCACGGCAGGCATGGTGAACTGGTGCTGCACTGGGCTCTCCTGGGGGAGCTGGAAGGAGGCCTGGCAGGTGAAGATCGGCTTTCCATGCTGGATGGCCTTTACGGAACGAACAGAGAAGCTCTTCCCTGTAGAGGTCCGCTCCACCTCGTACAGCACTGGCACCTTGGGGTCCCCTGGGATAGAAAAGCGACGTTCTGCCGTTGGGCCACCACGCACCACAGAGGGGACCTGACTGACAGAGGCCGAGCACTGGGGTCAGGCAGGCTGAACCTGCTGTGCCCTGAGCTGGCAGTGCCACGCACGCCCTCTCTCTGTTGTGCTGGAGCCGTGATGGTGGCACCTGCTCACTCCTGCGGGCCTCAGCCCCG